AGACCCACTAAAATCCAAATGAGGTGACCCATTCAAGGGCTTTTCTAAGCAGCTCATACATCACTTGGATTCTTCACTCAGTGATCAGTCTAGTTCAGCCTTCCCCATCCTGTTCTTCTCCAGATATTTTAAACTTGAACTGCCATCAGCTCCAGCCAGTCATGAATTCTAAGTTGTCATCCACAACCTCTGGAGAGTTTCAGGTTGAAGAAGACTGGTGCATGGTAGCAACAGATGCAGCCATCCTGGCTTGATACAATTCCATTACAGTCACACAAAAAAAAATGTAAAAAAGGAAGGAATTTAGAGTAAAGATGGAACCACACATTACAATAGATGACAAAAGCAGCAGCCCTACATCCTCTCTCACCCCAACGAAATTCAGTCAGTCAGAATGTGCGATATGATGTCACCACGTTTTGGGGTGAGAGAGGAAGAGCAGGATTGCTGTTTTGCATTGGCCCCATGTCACATATGAAATAGAGTTTCAGCCTGGCTCTTCCAAGGAAAGAGCTGCATGCCTGTTTCTACCAGTTAGTCTGGTACTAATCTAATATTCTGACCAAAAATACCCATTTGTAGTTTTGCCTGGATCTAAACATTTGAATACTAAAAATTTATTCCTAATAAATTACTGTTATTTCAGTTCCATTGCTAGCTTGCTATTAAAGTAGTTCATGCACTTAGAATGGCTGGTTTCTAACTGCACTTAAATAGCTGGTTTTTGAAGGAAAAAACAGTATCTGTCAAAAATCTGTGAGGTGATAATTGTGTGGCTGTATTATAGCTTTAAATCTTGTAAAGCAGATGCAAGACAAGCTGGTGCCCTTCAGGTATTTTGGACTTGCAACCTTGGCCTTTCATTATTCTGTCCTGGATTTATGGGGGTTGTAGTCATTTCCCGATGGTTCTATGTGTGAGTCAACATACTCAAATTGGTATATAGCCAATTCAAGCATGCAGTGTAGAATAGTTGTCTGGTTCCATCTACCAGCTTCTACTATAACCTCAGACATTACACAGTGAGTCTGTATAGAAATGACTTGCTTGGAAGACTGGGACCATTTCAGCATCACCTGAATTATGCCCTAGAGGCCTGAAGCATGCTATTTCTTGTCACAGAGCCAAGCTACATGTTCTACTAACCATGCAGTGTTCAGACTTCGCTCTTTAACTCTAGTGTAACCAGATGTAGCCCTGATTCTGACCAGGACCACTGCACTCTGGGATAGAAAAACTAAAGGAAAACATCTTCACTGGTGTCCATGGAGCCCTTTCTCCTTCTGCCAACATGTCTATGGTGGCAGTGGGAATTTCAGTAAGAAAACAGTGGGGGGAAAGGGTCAGTCTTTTTCTCCTGGAGTGCAGTGGTCCCAATCCAAATCAGAGCTCGCCATGCTTACTAGAGGAAAAAGAAACAAACAAACATGATACCCTCAGTTACATGCTGTGTAATTAGCACAGTATGCAATTTGATGCTTAACGCACCTTTCCAACAAAATCAAGGAGGAGGGGGGCTGTAATTAAATTCACATGTCCAAGTACATTACAGAAATCTTTCTTGTGTCTTGCCTTTCTTTTCTTTGCTAACCCCAACCCTTTACATCAATGTGATAGTACAGGAATGCAATTAAACACTGAGGAGTTTTATTTAAAAAAACAAAATCAAAAATTGTCTCTTTCCTTTGGAACACGTTAAATGATGTTAGTAAAGTATAGCAGAATTTTATTTTAATGAACTAAGTCTCCTTCTAAAATATTTTCAAGTGACAAGACAGAAACCCAATGGGCTTTATTAGTTGACATAATAGGTTCCGTTCAGGAAAACAAATTGGATGCAAAAGGGTAACTAATTTGATGACTGCCCGCTCACAGGTAAACCACACTGAGTCCAATGGGGTTTACTCCCAAATTATTCTGCTCAGGATTGCACCCTAAGTGTCAGGGCCACCAGACTAGGGAAATGAGCACCAACTCACAAATCTAAACTCAGAACTAAGGTTCCACAGCCCAGAAGTCTCCAAGCCTTAGGTACCCTTACCCAGTTCAGCACCTTCCAGATATTTTTGGCTGCGGATCCCAGCATTCTGAACTTCTAAAGGGTGATGAAAGGAGATGCAATCTAAGCCATTTGGAGGATGCCAGACTGCCTGAGCCTCTATGATCACAGTTGTTGGTACTGTGATCTAGAACCAAACAAGGTTTTGAAAAGGACCTTGAAAAGCAAGCAGCAGAAAATCCATCCCTACTGAATGTGCATCACCAGAAGGCTAGGGGCCTCCTGATAATTAAAGATGTTCCCAATCCTTATAATGGTACTATCCCAATGACAAGTTTGATATAGGGTTGTCAATCAGAGCGTCCGTACATCAATTTATGATCCCCTCCTAGAGGGCTCTGAGATCTTTTCCACCCATTGCCGTAGAAGCTAATGTAAATTAGCTCCTACAGGCCAGCAAGCTCTGATATTCCTGGTTTCATTCCCTGACAATGAGAAGGTGTTTTAAAAGACTAGGTCTGGACATTCGCCACAAAAAGCAAACTGCATTTCATATGGAATGCTGTGTTCCTTCCTTCCTAAAAAAAGCTTAGCAGCAACAACAAACAGCATGCCCATAAGGGTGCCAATCTGAGCAGAGGAAAGCAGGACAGGGAGAGGCTGTGAAATCTTTCCTCTTAGGGTGCAATCCTATGCGTGCTTTGCCTGAAAAAATATCCTACAATTCTCAGCATGCCCCAGCCAGGAAATTATAGGATTTATCGCTGGAAATTATAGGAGGTTTTTTTCTGTCGATGCATGGGATTACACCCTTAAACTTTTTTACTTTCCCAGCTTAAATATGCCCTCCTTTTTCCTCCCAGTGGGGTGAAACAATATTGGAACCCCACATTTTCCCTAACAGGTGGGGCAAAACAGCTTGGGAGACTAAGTTTTGAGCAGACTAAAAGGCAGGAAGGAGAGAGGAGAGCACACACACCACCCCCACCATTCTCAGTTTGCAGCCCCTCCTGAAGCTACTTTTAAAAGAAATGTTTGGGGAAAAAAGCTGGGGCAAGGAAAACAAAAGTGAGTCAAGGCCAATTTAACTGAGCTTTGGCATTTGAATTTCAACTAGTTCTGAGACACAACCTTGCTCCCTCTTTCTACTGCTTGACATTCTTAACTGTGCTGCACTTATACGGGCCTTCCATAGTTCTAATTCCAGCTCAATTTAGTCACAGCAGCTGAGTGGCCCTACAGATTGCAAAAGAGGATCACATCACCAATTAGTGAGGGTCAGCTTTTCCAGCAATAATTACATGCTTTGCTTTCTGAAAAGTTATTACCTTAATGCAACAGAGCACATATCATCAGCACAGTGTATGTCAAAGCACATGTAGTTCAAAGCTTTGCACCAGAAGGATGAAAAGTAATAGCGGTACATCAACTGTATTTTAAATTAGTAATAAGTATGGAAGGCATGCAGCTTAAATTTCTTAAAGCAACCCCAATGAGCACATGACAACTTACTCTGCGTCATCAGACACAGGAGTTCTGGAGCCGAATCTATAAAACCAAATATAAAATTAGAGGAGCTTGAGGGGGCAGGAAAAGAGAGGGCATCAAGTACAGTGGAAGGAAAGAAATGTAACTAGCACAAAAGGAGATGGGCTTTCCTTTGAAGCCAATCTTCATCGGTCAAAGAGAGCTGGAAAAGCATTGACATTTCAAAGCACCTCATATGGGACACATTTTAATTCTTCACACCACAGCAACAATGGTTTTTAGAACTAATTTTTAGATCTGCTTTCAAATTTCACAACACCGTGGCAGTGAGTCACCCTGTGGAACTGAGTGCAACAAGTCCTTCCTCACAGGAGCTGATGTGAAAAGCAACACTTACAGGTGAGCATCAGATTCAGTTAGCAAACGCATGTTACATTGTACATAACCCAAATTCATTCAAAAGCCAAACAGCCTTAGAAGAGAGTAAATGAAGAGTCTCTCCTGCTACTAATCTTTTCCCCTCAAAGTTTTATTCTGTAACTTGTTCAATCCAGAAAGCAAGGAAGCCCATGAGTCTTATGTGGGCTCTCTATCCATTGCAGATTTTATTTTGAAATGTATAGGTGTCCTCCATGATGGTTGGGATTCAGCACCATGGATAGCTGAGATAAAAGCTGCAATGGGTCTGGAACCCCACTGGTGCAGGAGTAATTGGCTTCCCCTGCCTCCAAGTGAATATATAACCAGGATTTATTCTGGCAGTTTGTAAGCCATGGTTCCATTTCATTTGGCAGAAATAAACTTGTTAAATCTGAGAAAATAATAGCCATTTACATTTCATGTGAAATTCTCAAAGAATACTTGGCAATGTGTATTGCTCCCCCACAACCCCCACTCTAATTCCTGAAGCCTATTTTGAAAATGGTTCTTACAGCTCTGGGAAAGAAAATAACACACACTTCTTGCAAATATTTTATTAGTTTCAAAAGGCACACTACCCGTGTATATGGCAGTTAATCAAATAAACCAGGCAAGAGCAAAATCCATTTGCTCCCAGCATGCACACACAAATAAATGCATTTCCTAGTGACTACAGAGTGCTTTAGGATGCAAGTTCTGGACCATATAGCTCACGTTTGTATGGATTGGTCTTCTTGTGCAGGAAATTCTTCGTGGTTTCTTTCAAGAGCTTTCTGCTTCTCAGAAGAATGTTGTGATTGGGTTGGTTTGGGGTCAGTCATATCCTCAGGAACATCAGAAGATGCATCCTCTTGTCTTATGCCAAGGAAACTGTGTGTGCTTTGTTCCAGTTTGCACTCGGGTTGCACTGTGAGGCTTTTGTGGCTTTCCACAAAAAGCTTTGGATGTTTCTCAGTGACTACCAAGTCTGGCATAGTAATGCTAAAAAAAAATTAGTTTACTTCAGCTTATAAAGAGATACACTGTACACACTCAAGGAGAAGACTGCCAACAAGTGAGACAAGCAAGGTGCTTATGTGTAACTGTGGTTCTGCAAGTGAACTCCCACAGAAGGGATCCGTGCCTGTGCAGAACAGTGATGTAGAGCTTTCTAGAGCTGAGCAGCATTTTAGATGAAAGTCACACCACCATGCCTGCCCCAGTTGTGGCTTCCACCAGCCACTCAGTGGGGGGTTCCATGAGTTCACGGAGGACTATTTGAAGAACCATGCTTTTGGGTGAGCAACCTGTCCTGTGTGATCTCTGGGATTCACAGATATGGGTGACTGATAGCCAAGAAACTTATAAAAGGAAGATCACATCAGGACTGTAGGAAGTAAGGCCCTGCCAAAGGCTCTATCCACATGAGATCTGATATCTAAGAGGCAATGTTTAGTGAAGATTGAGCGCACATTATAGTACTGCAAAGGGAATGTTGGCAATGAAGGAGGCAGTTATTTCTGGCACACTTCTCAGGGCCAGGGTAGCACTGACTCTTCAGAGAAGTGCGGATGTAGGGATGGCAGGAGAAGATGAGGTTATCTCAAGACCATAACCCTCAGCTGTTCAGCCCTTGGGAACAGACAGGGTTTGGAAGTTCAGGGAGGGGGCATGGGAAATGAGCAGGAGCAGCCTGATTGGGTCTCACTGGGAGAGAAAGGCTTCCCAAGTAGAGGGCCTGTGTTGCTCTAGGAGGGTAGTCCTTCTCTAGAGAGGGACATCCAGAGGGGTGGAGTCTAGCAATAATGAACAGGAAGGTTCTTAGAAATAGTTTCTTGTCTGGGTTCAATGAATCACACTGTTCATGCACAAAAACTCATCTTCTGGTGGCTACAGTTTACTAGCTGTATATTGAAAATGAAGAGCTCTTAAGTAAAAAGACTGTCTGTTGTTTGAAAGGAATTAAGGTGGAAACCCAGCTCCCAACATTAGAGAAGTGGAATGTGCTGCAAAAAACCCCCAAGATTATGCCATAGCTCTGGCTGAGTGACCATAGACATGTAAGGGAACTGGAAGGTATGCGAGCTAGTATCCAAGGAATATCAAGGTATCCAAGGTATCCAATATCATTGACGCAGCCCACTGTGATGTGCTGTGGAGGTACAAGTAGTTCTTTCCCAGGGCTTCAGTGGCACAAGGGGAGGTTTGGAATGAAGCTGCACATAACAGAACAAAAGGGCCCTCTAGGCAGCTTATGAGTGAAGCTTGACCTCCAACTGGAAGTTCACAGAAAGAACTTTGGTAACCCACACTCCTGAATCAAATGAAATTGTGGCACCTCCTTAGGAAGAAAGCTGCGATCTGGTCACAAAACCACTTTATCTCTGAAGAATGCTGATGCTTGCAGTGAAGAACCCAGAGCTCACCTTCCCTGTCTGCCAAAGCAATGGCTGTGCGGAAAGCTACCTTCAAAGTAAAATGTCTTAGGTTCAAAGAATCAAAAGCCATTGGTTCAAAGGCTTTTGTTGTGTCAACACAACTGACAGGCTCCATGCTTGAATAGGTGGAGTGATTGGTAGAAAGAGACTGAATGATCCTTTGAGGGAAAGGTTTAATATCTGGGAATGAGTAGAGGGTTTAAGCCCTCAACTTTCTTATGCTTAGCCAAAATGGCTGCTCAGGTATGGTCTGAGAGTGAAAAATCCTGAGAAAAGGTACTCAAGTCCTTGAGAAAGGTCACAGGATTTGGGACTCTGTCCTATTGGCACAATAAAACCCCAGAACATCCACTTAGCTGCATAAATAGCCCACGTAGAGGCTTTATGGGAGATAGTCATCACCTCTACTATCTCTTTGGAGAACTGGTGAGGTTGACCACCCTCCAGGCTGTGAGACCAAAGATTTGAGAACCAGATGTATGATTTTTATCCTTATTAATGATGAGAAGATCTGATCTTCAAAGAAGACAGAGAAAGTGCAGTTGTAGAGAAGTCACAAATATACCAGAAACTGTTTAATTTGCAAATCAGTGGGATGGGGAGCTTTTGAACAGCATCTGAGGGATCCAAGACCAGCTGACCCTCTTGAACATAAGATCCAAGACCAAAGGAGCCTTTATCTTTACAGCCAAAGTGAATTTACTTTGACATAATCCAAAGGAGAAAGAGGCTCCGATTCCACACAGCGGCATCTAGAGAAGACTGGAAGCCTCTGAAGAGGAGATGGATGAGGATGAGCAGTAATCATCCTGTTCTGAGGAACAATATTTGGAATGTAGCTTAACTGCTAACTTTGGTTGGCAACAGACAACATCTGGCTGATCAATGATACTCTTTTGGTTGCACTGTGGATGTGCCTAAATTCCTATGGTAGTCTGCAGATTTTTCAGGAGGACCATGTCTTGGAGGAAGTTAGCCAAAAGAGGTGGAAACAATACCAATGGCAGGTTGGTTGAGTTAGGCAGTGTGGCCATTTCAGACCACTAAATGTTGAGCAGTTGGACACAGCATAGGTGAGGGTATGTATTGGGGGGAACAAATCTGACTGCTTGCTAGAGTAAGGAGAGTGAGATTGTCAATGGCCATCATGAACATGACTGATACCATCATGGGGGTGATCAGTTGCTAAAATATCAGGGTGGAGACCACATGCACTGGATAGCATGACCCCAAAGGGGATGATACTTCTCCAAAATGGGTGTTGGGCCCAAAGATAAAATGGTTGTAGAATTGTTGGTACCAGGGCTGACTTCTTAAGTGTAGGTTACAATGTCAGAATGGCCACTGGTTAGAGTCAGTTCCTACTACAGCAGGTACAGTTTTTGACCTTGGAGGCCAGGCACACCCAAAATGCCACAAAGAAAAGGAAGGAAAACTGAAGAAGATAATAAGAAACAGGAAAGGGGGGAGGGGAAAAAACTCTTAACAGCAATTGCAGAAGGGGAAAGCTACAATTTCTACAAAGGAAGAAAGGAAGGAAGGAAGGACCATGAGAAATGAAGAATGTTCAAAACACTGCTGGCTTCAGGTAGAAGTCACACCCAGATCATGCACCTGGGGTGTGGGCAGGACTCCTGCCTAAAACTCTGCTCAGCTCTAAAATGTTCTGCACAAACATCTAACTCATATGCGTGAGTCACAGAGACCTCCAAGAATGTATCAAAAAGCATGCACAATCATGGTGAACACAAGTAGCATTTCCAAGTTTTTGTGGTTCTGTACAACCACCACAACCAGGTGTCTCATTTCATGAAGGCCAGTGGGTTTTGTTTTGTTTTTTTGCAATATGCTACCTAAATCCACCAGACAGCAGAGTAACTTTATTTAAGCTAATATGACTTTCTAGAAAGATACCATTAACAGCACAGTTAGCGGCATCACTAGGGGATTGGGGGTTCAAGACACAAGGTTGCACCTGCATGCACACCTTTCCTTCCAACAGTGCACTGCTGCCTCCTTTGCAGCAAGGTGAGAAACAAAACCAAGACAAAGTATGATTTCGGGTGGAGCGGGAAAATTTTCCATAATGTACTCATTTGCTTTGAGATTTAGCACACTTGCCAAAACAGGTGGTTATCACAGTTCGCTACAGAGTGCACAACCAAAAGCAACATTATTTCCCTCCTCCCCATTCTATACAACACACCATCCTTTCCAAAACTGACGTTGTCCATATGGTTTCAGCTACAATTTGCATAACTCCAGATCACTGAGTGTGCTGGCTGGAGCCAATACAATTCTGAGTGCAAAACATATAAAGGGTACTAGGCTTAAGAAAGCAGTGCTATGCATTTTGGTTTCATTTTTGTCATGGAAGAGACCCTCTGAAATTCATCTAAATGTTCTCTCCCCTAACCCAACAAATGCAACTGTGATCAGAAGGCTTTGTTCTTCTCCTTCTTCCCATCCCTGAGAGCCAGAGTGCTCTAATGAATTAGATTAGTTCCAAGGAAACGTGAGTTCAAACCGCTCAGATATAAACCCCCCTGCAGGACCATAGGATGGATACTCATTCCCTCTCAGCCTTCCTCACTTGGTAGGTTTGTTGCAAGGACAAAATGGAAACAGTATGCACTGCTCTGGGCTTATTTGTGAATGGGCAGGATTAATAGTTTTATAAGCTGTTCAGCACATGTCTTTCAGAGTTTGCATAAATACTCCTGAGTTCACTCACAAATCATTCCCCTCATTTCCTGCCCTCCATTATCTGGAAGACATAACTATTCAAATCCACTTTGTATACCTCATAAAACATTTCTGGAATAATAGAGCTCTTTGTAAACAGTATTTCCACTTATCCAAATATTTTGGTTGTCCCAGCAGCACACAGATACCATCATATCACCATTCCGGACCAAAACTGTTTGTTAAAATATAGTATTTTCTTCCTTGTTATTTAGATGGTAGATGGGTGCCCAATTCAGATCAGAACAGTGACTTCCCTAGTCAAATGGATTCATACCTATAATAGGTAACTCTAGATGCTTCAAAAAGTGGAAACTTCTTTAAAAGGCTTGGGGCGGGAGGAGCTCCCTTGCTTTGAAAAGAAAATTGTTCTTGGCCTCAAAACATAGCTTTCACTGTATGTTCCCCATCTGGGATTTAGAATTATAAAGGCACAAACTCACTGGACATCGCAGCCTTGCAAGCTCACACAAGTTGCCAACACATGAAATAAAATGCATTAACCAACTTGCAGGGAGGGAGGGACATGTGGCCCTCCAGATATTATTGGATTGCAGCTCTCATTACTAGCTACCCTGGGTAGGGTCTATGGAGGTTGTATTCCACAGACCCTCTAGTCTGAGAGAATGCCTAAAAACTGGAGAACTCCTTGCAGAATATCTAAAAACTGAAGCAAATGGGCTAAAGGAAGCAAAAAAGCAGGTTGCTTACCTGTAACTAATGTTCTTCGAGTGGCCATCTGTGCAGTCACACATATGGGTGCTGTGCCTGCGCAGTACCTTTGGCCGGAAGATTACAAGCTAATGGTTTATTTTGGCG